TATCAAATTGGTTCGCCAAATTTCGTACAGGTTATTTTGACCTCACAAATGAGCCACGCGGTCGCTCAGAATCAAAGGTTATCCACACCTGTTTAGTGCAGATGAGATCCATTATGATTTCATGAAACCTGGCTCATCGATCACAGCAGAAATATTAATACTGCAACCAGATGGACGAAATGATGCAAGAACTTAAAAAAAGACAGCTTAAATTGGTCAATAGATCGACTCCCATCTTATTGCATGATAACGCTAGACCACACACTGCATAAACGACTGTGGCAAAACTACAGGAATTGGAGTTGGAACTTCTTCATCATCCTCCACAATCACCAGACCTAGCTCCCAATGTCTACCACTTCTTCCACAATTTGGACAATTTTTTAATAGAAAAACAATTTAATTCCGATAATGTTGTAAAATTGGTCTTCCAGGAATCCATTGACTCACGTCCGCCAGGGTTTTATACCACCGGCCTGAACAACCTGCTGCTTAAATGGCAAAAGTGTATAGACAATATAAGTGCATATCTTGATCAATCAAATAATTCTTTACATTTGTAAGTTATCAACCAACTTTACCTACATTTCTACAAATTTCATTCTTGACGACCTGATATTTCTGAAATTTTTACGAGATTTAGTACTATGTTCATTGTTACTAGATCGAAGGAGTTTAATAATAAGAAACAGATGTTGCGGCTTTGGGAATTATTTGTGATTTAACAGAGATAATTATGGAGATTCCTGGTATACTGAAAAATTCTGTAGACTCTCCCGAGTATAATAGTATTTTTTTGCAACGTAACATTGTCTGACGATCACTTGTCCACGAGAATTTTTTGCGATTTAACAGGAACAGTTACGGAGATTCTTGATATACTGAAAAATTCTCTAGACTCTCCCGTGTATAACATTATATTTTTGTTTTATATTCTAGGTGTTTAGAAATGTTTGAGTAAAGTTTGAAGTGAACGTGATATCGTTCGACAATCATTTTTTTCTGCGGTATTTTACAGCATTAAGAATTTCTTGAGCTTGAATCGTAAAAGTTCTATGAACGTTCATCACCTAGAATAATTCTGTAGACTCTCTCAAATATAAGGCTATGTTTTTAAATACATTACGAATATTTACGTGTGTTTAAGCAATGGTAGAAGCGAACGCTTAGACCAGAATAATGTTCTAATTCCAGTCAAGATGAAAGAAACTTTGAGAACTTTTTGTAATCTAACTAAAGAAGCTATACAAATTGTTGTCACATCGAAAAGTTCCGGAGATTTTGCAAAATGCAACGGTATATTTTTCCATTACATTATCAAACCTCAAGCTTGTTTGAACAACATTTGTAGCGGATGCCTTTATTAAGAATATCCGCAAAATGCACTGAAATTTTCAACTTTGAGAATTTCTCTCGATTAAGCCGGAGGATCGATACGAATGATTCCTGTATGAAATGATTCTACGGACACTGCCCGACCAAACGACGTAGCTTTTGTAGCATTATGAACGTTTGAGTGGACGGAAGACTTCCGAAGAGCGTGCTCTCTGCGTTTTCCCGTGTAATCGCAATCGATTCCGACGAGTTACGAAGCCGACCATGAAAAGCCAAACACCGGTTGTTTAAGCTTGAACGGGGTCACCTGGCTCTAAAAATATGAAAAAACGCTAATATCGGCCAAGCGGCTCTCTCTCTCTCTCTCTTTCTTCCTTTCTCTCTCTCTCTCTCTCTCTCTTCCTTCCTTCCTCTTTCTCTCTCTATCTCTCTCTCTCTTTCTTCCTTCCTCTTTCCCCCTCTCTCTCTCTCTTCCTTCCTTCCTCTTTCTCTCTCTCTCTCTCTCTCTCTTTCTTTTCTGCTCTCTCTGTCTCTTTTTTACTCCCTCTCACTCTTTCTCTCTCTCTCCCTCTCTCTCTCTTTCTTCCTTCCTCTTTCTCTCTCTCTCTCTCT